CCCGTCCCATCCCCTGTCACCCCTGGCTTTCTCTTCCTCCTACTCACCCACTCAATCATACACACGTCTCTTTTTCCCGCGTCATTCACGCCCAGTCTCATTCGCACGCACTCCGCATACTTCACCTTTCTCCGTCACTTCTCTTTTCTTCCCCCCTACCTCTTCTTCTTCCTCTTCCTCGTCTCCTTCATCTTCATCGTCTTCTTCGTCTTCTTCCTCTTCTTTGTTTAGAGTGAACAACTTTACATTATTTACAGACATTCTTCTCATGGTCGTGTAAGCGCGTTTCCTCTGAGGAAGCAACATTTCTCTTTCCCACTCTCTCTCTCTCGCACATACACACAACACACACGCGCACACACATTCTCTCTCTCTCTCTCTCTCTCTCTCTCACCCTCTCACTCTCTTTCTAACTCTCCCTCCCTGTCTCTCCCGCAAATCTTTTAAAACATAGGCAAGTTAAATATTGTATCACAATCGTTTTAGTCTGGTCGAAATCGAACATCTTCAACCCGTTTGGCGATACGCGTTTTGAACGGTGAGCGACGGCGCCCCGGATGGCGCGTGCACCACCCCGCGAAAGATAAGCGGATTCGAAGGAATTCACGGGAATTCACCCCGCGAGTTCACCTCCTTCCCCTGTCTCTGCCCCCTCCCCCCCTTCCCGCCATTGCCTCGAACGTTAGAACGTTCGTCTCCCTCGCGAGAGGAGTTCCTATCGATTTCCTCGTGTTCGCCTACTTCTCGCGGGAGCAAGCCCCGAATAGCCTCGTGCTATTCGCTTGTCCACGAAAGAAACGCGGGAAGGTACGTCGTATGACCGATCAATATATAAAAAAATACGTACAACGGGGGAATAGACGAGACTTTTCGTTGGTTACTTTACCTTGGTTCTGGCTAGCGAGAAGAAGCTCGACGGTGAGCGAGGGCGTGCCGCTTTCCGCACTCTTTTCGGTCATTTCCTCTCTCACTATATCCCCTCGTCCTTCGCGCGAGAGATCGACGACTCGTTGAGCGGATCGCAGCGGGGACCGGCGATTTGCGTGCGCCGGCGGATTAAACAGAGAGTGGCGCTGAGTCGGCAACGGACGACTGATCCTGGCACCCTTAAGGGGTCGCGATCCAAAGCGCAACCCCACCGAGAGCACGATCGCGATCAAAGGAAGAAGAAAAAAAAGGAACACGCGTCGCGAACTTGCTACGACCGAATTTCGCGGCGAGTCCGAACCGCGACCGAACCGATACGAACCTGAGAGCGACACGATGACCGCGCGATGACTCTAACCGCGATGTGTGACGTCGTCTCTCCGCGATATCAGCGAGTAACGAGAGGAGAGAGCCGGCCGCCATCCCCTCGCTCGCTTCCCCGAACGTACACGAAGACGATCTCTCTTCGGTCGTCACTATCCGTGGAACGGAACCACTCCTCGGCCCCTCTTTCTTCATTACAGCCAATGCCACGATGTGGAAAGAGAGAGAGAGAGAGAGCAGGAGACATTCGTCGGATAACACGACGATCAGCCGACGAAGAGACCGCGACCGGTGTGAGACGTCGTCTCTCGGACGTCCGCTCGGGGCACACGCGACTAAGAAGAAACCGGCCGCCGCCGTGTTCACCGTCGAGCTCTCGGGGCTAGCTGGCGACGCGTTCCGAGGCTCCGCTAAGCAATGGAACAAGAAGTGCGAGCGAGTTGCGAAACAACCGCGGAAAGCAAGAAGACTCTAGTAAATGCACGACAAATGTCACGGGTAGTGTTGCTGGATCGGCTGCTGGCCGCCGCACCGTTGGGACGACGTTGCGGCGACGGCGGCGGCGGCGGCGGCGGTGGTGGTGGTGGTGTTGGCAACGGCGGCGGCGGCGACGGCGGCGGCGACGTTTGACGTGGCGTTGGCGGCCTCCAGCGCGGGACCGAAGCAGCGCTGAAACCTCAGCGCGGAGATTCCTGCTTGCTAGTAGGCGGCAGGATGGACGGTTAGTCACTGCGGCGGCAGACCGGTCGGTGGCTTGAACTCGCCGGTCACGGACACGCCGTTCGCCTGGCCAGGGAACTGCGCGCTCGACACCGGCGGCTGATGATTGAATGCGGGCGCGTAGCACTGCGGGAAGTAGAGCTCCGGCTTCACCACCGTCGGCGTGAGGCCACGCGGCACCGTCACCGGGCCTAAACTGACCGGCGTGCCGGGTGGCTTGGTGTCACCGCTCGAGTTCCGGCGCACCTTAGCCGCGTGCGGGTTCATGTGGTTGTCGATGTGCTTCTTGACCTCGGGCTCGGTGGCGAAACGCCGCCTGCAGTTGGGCATCGGGCAGCAGAACGGCCGGTCGCCCTGGTGGGTGCGCGTGTGCTGGTCCAAGATCGCCTTCTGACGGAAGTCTTTGCCGCACTGCTGGCACTTGTACGGCTTCTCGCCGGTGTGGATGCGCAAATGTTGATTGAGGATCGTGCGCTGGCGGAAGTTACGGCCGCAATACATGCAGCCGTACGGCTTCTCGTTCGTGTGAATGCGCAGGTGCTGCGTGAGATGCGACTGCTGACGAAATCTCTTGCCGCACTCCGGACACGGATACGGACGGGACTCGATGTGTATGCAACCGTGCTGCAGCAGCGTGGACTTCTGCTTGAACTCCTTCTGGCAGATCGGGCAGCGCACGTAGAGCGGCATTCCCGCTGAGCGGCCGTGCTGTATCACGTCGGGTAGGCAGCTCTTGGTGCCGCCTTGCTGCTTGATATACTGCAGCGCGCCAAAGCTGCCCGTGCCAGCCGCGCCGAAGACCGCGTGATTGCCACCTTTCGGATCCTTGAAGTAAGCCGGGTACTGCATGGAGTTGGCGTCCGGCGCCGGACTGAACGCGCCCGACTGCGTGTCCGTGTCGCCGAAGGTCGACGCCACCTCCTCCTTACCCTCTTCGGGAGGAAAGGGCACGTCCTGTGGCCAAAGCGTCGGCGTCATCCCATTTTTGAAGATGAGGTGTGGGCTCACGTCTGTAACGAAAGCGGTTCACGTTCATCGGCGGTATTCCACGGCGGACGGGTAGTAGAGGAACGTTAGTAGTAGCCCGGACTACGGTACGACTCGACGGGATAAGATCTACTCGCCAGAACTGTTCAGAACGTGATGACGCACGGATCTCGCAGAAAGCGAGAACAGCCAGACGCCGTCGAAAGACCACCCTTAGGTGGTGTGTCTCTTGAGACACCCCGACCGATCTGTCGCTTTGCGCGTCTTTCGGACGACCTTCGCGCCGTTTAGGAAGCTACCGTAACCCAATCTACCGCGGCCCCAATCGAGAGAGAGAGAGAGAGAGAGAGAGAGTTGTTAGGGAGTAGTGGGTGAAGTACGAGAAGAAAGCAGTCCGATGGCGGGTCAAGGTCCATCTCCGAGCGACGAACGGGAATCGCGACGAGACACGCGAGAAATCAGAATTATACTTATATAGAGATGGACCACTGGTGGTTAGAGATTGGATGAGACGAGGACCGTGTGGAGTATCAGGAGGCTGCTCTGTCTCACAGTTCGTCAGCGCTCGTCGCTTCGTCCAGCTCAACCGTTCTTACCCTCCGGTTGGCCTTAGCGGGCAACGAGGCAACTCCAGACACGCTACCAGAACCCGTCTCCGGCGAATCGTCATTACATCGCGGCGCTTCGCGGAGGTGCTTTCGCACGGAGCGAAAGTTCCGATCGTTCTCGATGGCTGAGGGAGACAGGCTCCAACGGACCAGCGATGAATTTACCGAGAAGCGTGTCTTGGAGCACTGACACCCGACGGCAGCAACCATCGACTTGTTTTCGTGTTTCATAATCGTGCAGCCTCTCTAAATCCGCCACTGGTACGGATGGATCAGGTGAGATCGATCGAGTTAGTATGTTAAGGTGTTATCGCACCGCCGGCGGTTAAACGAATCTGGCAAGATCGCAAGTAGACGACGACGACGACGACGACGATAGCAATGCTTGATGATAGCGCCGACGGTAACGGCGGCGGCGACGGTGGTGATAAATAGCAATAGTGAGAAACCGATGGGTAGGTCAGTGTGTGATTGTGGTGGACGTCCTCGGGGGAGTCTGGGAGGCAGAGAGAAATGCTCGCCTTGGTGTGTGCGGACGTGCTGATTCAGGATCGCCTTCTGACGGAAGTGTTTTCCGCACTCCGGACATTGGTATGGCTTCTCACCCGAGTGGATGCGCAGATGCTGGTTGAGGATGGCACGCTGCCGGAACGTACGCTCGCAATAAACGCAAGCGTACGGCTTCTCGTTAGCGTGTATGCGCAGGTGCTGCGTCAGATGCGATTGTTGCCGGAACCGCTTCCCGCACTCCGGACACCCGTACGGCCGGCTGTCCGTGTGGATCCGCTCGTGTTGCAGCAGAGTCGACTTCTGCTTAAAATCTTTGCCGCACGTCAAGCACTTGAACAGACGCAGGTCGCTGTTGCCGGACTTGGACGACTTGCCGCTCTGCTGCACGATGTCGGGCAGTCCGGTGGCTAGGTTCGGCGCGCCCGGGCTGGCGTACTGGTGCGCGTCCAGGCCAGGTCCCCCGTCCCCTTGACCGAGGGACGTCAGCATCACCCCGGGTTGCTTGAGATAATGCAGCGCGGAGAAGCCACCGGGGGTGAGCATGTGAGGTGGCACGGACGGCGAGGGATGTGGCCTGGCCTCTTTGAAGTAGTGCTGCGGATACTGTTGCAGCTCACCGGCACCGGGGAAGCAGTCACTGCGGTCCACCTCGTGGGGTGTCAGTTGTTGCTGCGGCGAGTGATCTTGCTGTTGCGTCTGTTGTTGCTGTTGCTGCTGCTGTTGCTGGACTTGCTGCTGCTGCTGCTGCTGCTGTTGTTGCTGCTGCTGCTGCTGCTGCTGCTGTTGGACCTGCTGTTGCGTTTGCTGTTGTTGCTGCTGTTGCTGCTGCTGTTGCTGCTGTTGCTGGGACGTGGTCTGACTCGACTGTATGTCGTCATCGGGTGGAGTCAAGGACTGAGGCTCGGGAGGCGCCGAGGGATACGGTGAGGGCACGGGCGAGGCTAACGAGGGCGGAGGACCGTTTTCGCCCTCGACCGGAGGACCACAGGCCTGCTGCGGGCTTCCCGACGAGGTGGAACCCTGTTGCTGCTGCTGTTGCTGCTGCTGCGGGTACAGTCCGCCGTCCTGGAGAGATCCCGGCCCTGGGCCCCACTGACCCTGGGGTCTCTCCATGTTATCTTTGTACAGTACGTAGGGCGCGCCAGTATCTGTAAGCAGAGAATGCAGACGAGCGTTCGCGGTTACAGAGGAGGACGCTGCAGTTCGGCGATACGACGGAGAAAGGAAGAAACAGAGAGAGAGAGAGAGAGAGAGAGAGAGAGAGAGAGAGAGA